CCCCAAAACCCCAAAACCCCAAAACCCCAAAACCCCTTAAAGAATTCTGGAAACAGAAAGTTCAGAATAATAATTTTTATCTTATCTTCCACGAACTCCGAGCTGATTTCCTCTTCCATAAGTGTTTGGATCGACCGGTTGAGTATTTCCGATATAGGATTGGTACTCATTTCCAGCACCTGGTCCAGGTTGGTCGATTGCTCCTTCCTTAGGAGCACCATACCAGAAGTCATCATCATTATTTCCTTCACCGCCGTTATTATTTGGGTCATTGTAGAAGTATTCATTATTGGATCCTAGCATATTTCTACTAGCAGCTCCAACTCCAGAAGCTCCTCCAGCATTGGCTGGGTTATGATTCATAGGAGCTTCATTCTCCATATTCATGTCGTATTCTTCCTCTCCTCTCTGCTTGAGGAACTTCTGTCTTTCTCTCTCATTAAGGACTCCATTAGGGCCTAAAAGTCTGTTGAGGGTATATCTAGCCTCATCAAGCTTCTTAATAACTGCATGGGCTTCTTCAATGTCAACATTCAGCTTAGTATTTTCTTCCTTCAGAGTCTTGCCTTCGGTCTTGAGCTTTTCGAGTTCAGTCTTCATTTCATTAGATTCAGACTCGAGCTTTTCATCTTTGGCTCTGATTTCTCTTGTTTCAAAGCGGAGACGCATTGATTGAAGGTCAAGTTCTTGACACATCATATCACGCTCATTGCACTCATTAGTCTTGGCTTTGAGCTCCTGCTCTGCCTTGACCTTGGCTTGGATAGCAGCATTGAGGGTTTTCTCAAGCTCGAGATGAACCTTGTCCTGAAGCGTTTTCTTCTCTCCCTCTACTATTTTTCTTAATTCGTCATTTCTTTCTTGAAGTTCATCTTTCAGCTGAAGGCGCTTCGCTTTTTCGTTAGTGATGCAGTTTTCAGCCTCAACAATTGCTTGTTCAGAGTAGTCTAAACGATCCATTAGGTATTTGATCAAGTCGTCTTTGTCAGTTGGCACCTTCATCTCTTTCATCTTGTTCAATTTCTAAAATTTTCGAAGTTAATGGCTGATCAACTCAAAGGGGAATCGTGGAAAAGATAATCAAATTTGATTTAGAATGAGAGCAGTAGTGTAGTAAACCACTGCATGGAGAGTAAGTGTAAGGGGTGAGAATAGCTCCCACTTCAAAGTTGCATTGGGACAAAATAAATTGATGATTTCTATGCTATTTCTAGTCTTACCTCCTTCAGCAACTTGAGATCTTCCTCGTCTTCATCAGCTATTTTGTCTAGTTCTTCTTTATCCAGCTGTGCTAACTTTTCTTCCTCTTCGTTATGTTCACTCTTTTTATCTTCGTCTCCTTTCTTGCTCATAGTTTAGACAACAATAAATTTTTAATTCTATATATTTGCAATATAAAGGGGTTTTGGGGTTTTGGGGTTTTGGGGTTTTGGGGTTTTGGGG